TTTTTTTTTTTTTTTTTTTTTTTTTTTTTTTGCTGTAAATATGGTTGTAAAAACTGTTGCAGTTGTGTTCCGTAATTAGTCTATTACCATAGTCTGTTTATTTATTCCTTTATACAGTGGTAGTCTACTCTTGTTTAGTTTGCACAAATGATCAATTTTTATACTAATCGGACTTGAAGATTTTGTACCGATACAATTAATGGTTCTGCTAGTCGACGAGTGAGTTATAGCGGCAAAAAACAGCAACTGTTTTAGGTGTTAAACGGTATTCCTTATTCTACCGAAAAGGTTTAAACTTAGGTGCATGAAGAGCAATCTAAAAGCTATATTAAATAAGCTATGTGCGAAAAAATTTTTGAAGGGTGATAATAAAAGTTAAATCAGTTTTAATATGCAATGCAAAGTACTGCGATGCATTTGTACGAAAAAAAAGGTGGTCGGCAATTTTAAGCAAACCTTGAAATTTAAGAAAAAAAATGCTGTTATTCAAAAGACTTTCATTGCTGTTTCATAGTAATTAGCGTCTTTTTTTTTTTTTTCATTAGTCTGTTTGTTTTTTCAGTGGTTGAACTTTGGTAACAACAGAAAAAAAAGAATTTGTACTTTTTTTTTTCTTTTGGCGCAACACATTGTTACGGATTTCTTCCTGTGGTTTAACAAAAGTTTATTACATTAGAAGACTAAATTGCAGAAGTAACCTATGGGGGAGGGGGGGAGGAGGGAAGGAAGGAAGGAAGGGGGGGAGGGCAAAAGTATACCTACAAACTACATATTGCTGTTTTCAAGAAGATTTCTCAATCAACCTAAAACGTTCCAAACTATAGTCCAGATAACGAACATTTCAAGTTGACGCAGTGTTACGTCAGTAACAAAATCAAGATTTCTACTGAAACCTGTTACCTTCTGGTTAAACAGTAAATTTTTAAAAAGACGTTATGAAAGGACATCTGCTTTTTATTCTTGTTTTACTTTTCTATCAGCTTTAAATTTTGTTAAAATTACTGTCTAAATTGACTGAAATTTGAACATAAATAGTGGGGAGTTTTTTTTTTTTTGCCAAGACAAAATAGGTTTAAGGAATTTTATTGATAAAAAAGTGAAGATAAGGTAACATCACCTGAGTTGGATAGTCAGACTTCTGCCATTTTCTGCAAATGATACCTGACTAATTATAGGACTCATGGAAATGCAATATGTTTTGGGTTTAAAATAAAGTTTCATCTTATTTCGGTTCTTGATTTAAATTTACTTTAAGGTTTAAGTGGTAAATGTTATATATTTGATTCCTTTAGAATTGTTAATACCAGTACTATGGTTGATTTCTTGATCTTTATAAAAACATTTTTAATGAGCTTATATTTGTCAGGTGTAATGCGGAGCACAAAAAGTGAGAAAAAAAATGGTTATCATTATTAACGTTAACTTACAGTTTTGTAACTTCATTGGAAAGTTTGTTTTTTAGTGTCATTTACGATTTTATATTTATAGACAGTTACGTTTATTGTTATTATTATTGAGATGCTTCCTGTTCTTAGGTAACAAAGATATTTATTAATTTTTAATTTTATAAAAAAATTTGGAGTTTTGTAAAGTTACTCTGAAAATTTTCATTTAAAAGGCTTATTTATACACAAAATAAAGAGTTTTCTTCAAAAATTTACTGTTGTTAATGCTTAAAAAGCACTAAATTTGGATAACTGTTTTTTTTCGAAACATACGTAGAAGCAGAAGACTTGGGTATTTGACGATTTGCAATTAAGCAGTTGATATTATCGTTTGATCAAAGTCTTTAGCTACCTAGTTGTCTAAATAATGTTTGTTTTTCTATGCTCTTTATTTGAAGCATATTTGTAGCAAATTTTTAGGTAAAATGGCTCAACCAACTGAACCGCCAAAACTTGGCTTTTATGTTTATTTCTTGGCCTGTATGGCAGTTATTGGTGGTTTTTTCTTTGGCTATGATTGTGGAATAATGTCTGGAGCAATGCTGTATCTGCCAGATTACGATGGTATGAAACCAATGACTGCTATATGGAAGCAAGTTTTAGTAAGCGTTACACCAGGTACTATGTTTCTTGAGCTATTATTTATGGATAAAATTTCTGTAAAAATTACTATTAATATTCAACTACTATAATCGTTATTTTGACCAAACACTTTTTTACTACTTGTATCAATTTTCGGTAGTTTCCTGACAGTAAAATTTTATATACTTGCTTGTTTCCTAGATTCGTCTAAAAAGTATATGCCGGTTTTGTAAAGTTTGGTTTTATAAAGCCAGCAACTAGAAGTATTTTTTTGACAAAATTCTTTTAAGGTTTGGCTATCATTAGTTCATTAGCAGCTGGGCCATGGTCTGATAAATACGGCAGAAAAAAAATTATTTTGGCTTCTAGTTTTTCACTGACTGTTGGTGCAATCCTCAGTTGTGCTGCAACTGAAAAAATATGCCTTCTTGTTGGACGAGTTCTTATTGGCATTGCTATTGGTTGGTTACAGTCAAACAATGTTGAAAAAAAATCAAATTTTCATTCGTTATGGTTATGACATTTATTTGAATGACTACGCAAATTACTTGTTCTTGACAAATTTACCAGTAGAACCGAAAGAATTCAGTTGTTAAAGATTACCGTTAAAAGATGAGAATGGGAAAAGTTTGAATTAAAGGATTTGCTTCAATGATCGGTCCAGCATACGTTGGAGAAGCATCACCGGCAAATATTCGTGGTACTTTAGCCACCGGTTATCAACTTATGGTCACTTTCGGACTTCTTATGTCAAACGTTATAGCGGGTACGCTAACGCTTGATGTTAACTGTTTGTTCAGTTATCTGTAAAGATAATAAAACAGTTATCAGTTTTGTTTTCTAACTTAGTAATTTCTAGGTGTTAATTACTTTTTTTCAATTCAATGAAAAAACTGTCAAAATGTACTTAATTTTAAGCGGCTTTCTCATATATTAATCCGGTCTTTGTTGGATGGAGACTTATGCTTGGATGTGCAGCAGTTCCATCTCTTATACAATTTTTTGGTTTTTTATTCTTACCAGAAAGTCCTCGATATTTATATGGCAAAGGATTTTCTGAAGAAACAGAATTGGTATGGTTGGTTGTTTACAAAATGTATTGAAGTTATATCAAACAGCTAAACCTAGTTTAAATTACTACCTTTTACAGATAAAAAAATATAATTTATAGCTATACAAGCTATCAAGACAAAAGAAAATTCTTTTTTGTTTATTACATATAGAAGTCTTCAGGGTTGCAATGGGAAAGATAATCGTAGTGGAAAGAAAGAAGATAATGGAAAATTTTTGCTGCTTTTTAGGTTTTAAAAAAGATCTATGCAAATGATGAAAAATGGATAAGTTATGAGATGGAAGAAATCAAAAAATGCGATAAAGAAGAAAAAGAAGCTAAAGCATCTGTTGGAGGTAAAATTTTTGGCATTTACATAAGCTGAAGATGTAACATTTTATTGCCGATTTCGAATCAAAAAAGTTACTCAGTTTCATAAATATAAATGTTTGCCAGATTGCACAAGAAAAAAAAAAAGCTGTTTAAACGATTCAATGACGGTTTTTCAATTTCAAATGTCAATATCAGCAGAAAAAAAAAAACATAGAACTATTTTTAGATCAAATTGTTCTATGTCGTATCTTACAGACATCTCATGTACTAAAGGCGTTAATGATCGGTTGTTGCTTACAATTTCTTCAACAATTAGCAGCTATAAATACAATCATGTATGGTCAAGTTTATACCAATGATACTTTTTTGATATTTATAAAAGAATACTCAATTAAAAAGTTTTTTCAAATAGTGTAAGTGTTGCTGTCGAGGGTTTATTAGAAAAGCAAAATTTTATTGATAAACTCATTTATAATTTTGTTGCTAAAATTTTCGTAAGATTACAATGTATTTTAGCTATTATCTAAGCCATATAATAACGGCTGCAGGAATTGACAATAATCATACCACTCTATGGATATCAACAGCTATTGCCGGTACGATAACATATTTAAAACTGATTAGTGTGCAGTAACTTTTTTGCATATTTAAATTGTTTTATTAACCTTATTCTAAAGCTAAAATTAATTAATAAAAAAAAAAACTTTACACTGTTTGAACTTCTAATGTATTTATTGCAGTAATTAATTTCTTGGCAACAGTTATACCGGCAGCATTTGTGGAGAAATTTGGTAGACGAATATTATTACTAATTTCTATTGCCGGTGTTGATTTGTCATTAATACTGTTGGCTATATCATTTTTGTTGATCAATAAAGATTCGGCAAAAACTTATACTACTTCAAATATTACTGCTAATCCAGACTCAATTTCAAATTATTATCATTGCCAGTCTTTTAGGTTAGTAATAGTTTATGAAGATTATTGTAGAAAAAGAAAGCTTTATACTATATATTAGTCAATTACCTTATTTTTTTTTACATTTTTTTCATTAATTTAAATTTTTGGTGCTAGTTAATTGGCCAGAAATGTTGTGTAAATTTACTCAGACTGAAAAACTTGAACAAACAAATTTTAAGTGTTTGTTGTTTTAGTAACTGCGATTCGTGTGTAACGGATGAAAACTGTGGATTCTGTCATAGCGGCGACAACCGTCAACCAGGGTATTTTCTTTTCTTTTTCTTTTTTTTATTAAATTTTTTTTGCAATACATCAAAATGATTAGTAGTTGTATGAATATAAAACTCAAAAATTTTTGAACTGTTTTATTTATGCTTTTTTTCTGTCAGTTTTTCTACAGCATTCTTCAGGAAATACTTGACAGGTTGAATTTAGTGTTTGTCTACCGACAAATGCGGACGAGACGGATTATGCGATCGTTGGCGACTGTGTTGTTGGCTATGATGCCACTGTGTATAAGTGGGAAAATGAATTCTGTAAAACTAAGTTTACTGTTATGCCGATTATCGTTATGGTTATCTACTTGGCATTCTTCGAGATGGGTTAATAATTTTTTCAAACTTGATTTCTAGTCTATGGTAACAGACATACCGCATTGCTTTGTAGACAGACTGCTGTTTGATTTTTCTAGGTTTTGCACCACTTTCATTTGTACTGAACGCTGAATTTTATCCTTTATGGGCTCGAAGTACTGGTTGTGCGTTGGCTGTAGCATTCAATTGGATTGGCAATCTTATCATGTCTTTAACATTTCTTAGTTTATCTGAGGCAGCTACCAAATACGGTTAGACATAAAAACTTAGTCTATAGAGATTGACGGTTTCCTAAAATACTTTTTTAAAGTGCTCTGTTTTATCAGACAAAATTTATGATGTTGTTGTCAAGTAAATATCAGAGTTTAAGAATCAAAAACAGTCGAACAGGCAGAGTTTCTCAGTATGAGTTGAATAAACTTATGAATTCTATTTGCTTATCTGTTTATTAGGTTATATTGAGCACCTTATCTTTAGCTAATAGCTTTGAATACTTGAGCTTTTTTAAAATTAAATGTTTGATTTTAAAGACTTTTGTAAGAAGGTAAATGATACTCTCTAAACATTCTGATACCATGTTTTTTAGGTGCATTCTTTATATATGCCGGCATCACAGCTGCAGGTTTCGTTATATTTTACTTTACAATACCGGAGACAAAAGGAATGCCTATTGAGCAGGTGGAGATGCTGTTTATGAGTGCCGCACAACGGCGTAAAGCCGAATTAGCTATGCAGCGTAAGAAGCAAATTGAAGAAGCCAATGAGAGCCTTGCTAAAACACAGAATTCGGCAAGTGATACAGTTTAATGGTCTACCAGTGTTACAACCACAAAATCTAATCATTTCACAATGCTGCATACCAAAGATTACAGAAAAAAAACGTATTTTTATTCTTCTGCAATTTTTATTCACTGTTTAAGAGTCAGAGACAAAAGTACATTCAATAAATAACGAAAAAAAAGAAACTTTGTCACAACATAAATTCTAACGTGAAAGAAGCTGAGTTTAATGATAGAAATTATCTTGACTTAACAATAAACTTGACTATGAAAGAAAGCAAAACTAAAGTTAATGCTTTATCGGATGCAAACAAAAACCGTAACAAATTTTAGTTTACTTTCATCTGTATACTTTTGAGAGTGTATTTTATTTTATTAGTATAGTTTTTTTGCTAGAATAAATTAATCATTGAAAGCATAACTGAGTGATAGTTTTGTATTTGACCTATGTCATTTTTTTTCGTGTACATATAATTGAATTTTGAAGGCTTTAAATTGACGCAGTTTATAGATGGAATAAAAGTGCTGTCATTGATGCAGCTGATTAACTACAGTCTATTTCGAGAATATACATTTATACGATGAAAATCACTGCAGTTTTTGTATGTGAGGGAAACAGAAATATGTGAAAAAATTTATTTAGAAACCAGAAAAAAGTTATCAAAAATTTCTATTTTTATATCTTTATGCTTAACAGACTGCTATTGAAAAACAACTATTGTATTTATTACACTAAAACAAATACTATGGGCAATAATAGTAATAAGTAAACAGTAAAATTTGAATACAGTTTCATATATACAGTCAATAGTGGTTCTTTGATACAAAGGAACAATTGTTGTGTGAGTATACACTGTTTACTGAAAAATTTTCAGTCAAAAAAAAAGACAGACTTATTTATCTTATTAAACAGTTTACAATGAAACACACAGTTTCTACCACTTTTTTTTAAAAACAAACAAACAAGCAAACGATTCTGTCGACATAGGAAGTAAATTCAGAATGTTATATTCCAATTAATGCTTTACATCGTCTTCTGAAATAAAAAAGAGAGTGAAAAAAAAAGAAGAAAAGTATTACTGTCTAGTGTCTATAGTAATTATCAGTGCTTACATGGCAGTTTTTAAAAAGGGAAAGATAACGAGCGCTGTCACCCGCGTTGTCTTTTCTTTACTTTTTTTTTCTATTGCCTCTGATGGTAGGAATTTTGCAGCAAAAATTTGGTTTTTCTTTCTAAATTTTTATCAACTTATTTGTTGTTTTGGTTTGTGACATAGCTGTGCTATTTGTAGCACTTAAAACAGTACCTGGTGAAGCTGCAACTGTAGTATGACTATTTGAATTCAATTTTTCAGCTACTTGTTCACCACTTTTTCTGCCAACAGTCTAAAATAAATAATTAATGACAAAGAAAAAAAAAAAGCAGTTAAACACTTTATAGTTTGTACATAAATATTATACCACCATTTTTTTTTTTTGCTATATTTATTTATTTTATTAGTAAAAGAAAAGAAATAGTGCAATTTTGAAAGTTGTTTTGCGATAACTTTGAGCATTCAGTAGCACAAAAATGCAAAGAAAAAAAAAAGAAAAAAAAAAAATTCTCCGATAATTGACCTGTTTCTTTGTTTTTGTTGTTTTACTGCTATTAACTAATCATTTTAGACACTCTCCCTGGAAGTGTTTTTTATTTTTTTTCAAGGGAGCAGACTCAAAGCATAGAATCTGTAATATACCAAATAAAATCCCCTATGACCGGTGGTTGGTATAAATTCCATTTTCGTAATAGTCGGTCGGGGTATTCGCACTGGTTTCATGTTGCAAAAACGTTCTCGTTGCTCCCAAGTCAACATCGATGGTGTTGCACTCATCCTTATGTTTTCTGGTTGCTTTTTTTTTCCTGTTCAGATATCAGACAGATTAAGAATCTATAAAAGAAAAAAAAATCAAAACGTTGCTTGAACAAAACTGTAATCACTTCATTCTTAAAATATCGTTAAGACATATAGGATTAATACATTTGGGTTACAAATTTAGAATTGATGACAAGTATTCAACTTAAAAGTTTGTTTAATCCTTTCGTTATACAGGTAAAAAAGCAAGAAAAAAATCTTTTGGCTTTCATAGTACTGACTAATTAGCAATGGTAAAGATGACAGTTCACTGTAATACGGCAAATGTATGGCAAATGTATAATTTAAAAAAAAGAAAAGCTTTAATTGTTAAAACGAAAAACTACACTATCTGTAAAGAACAATTGTATCGCTTAAGACACCACATAAACACTAAAACCTTTGAGACATAAACGTTAAATTTTACCATTAAAAAAAAAAGAAGAAAGTTTTAATCTTAACATCCTTGAAAAAGCATTAGGTAATACTGAGAAAATCACCATTCTGTAGAGTTTTATAGGGGAAAACCAGCTGGTTGTAAATATGCTAATCTAAGCACCAACTATTCTGTTGATAAAACAATGAAATAGATAAGCATTCAACTGTTAGCCAGAACTCTGACTAAATTTAGACTGTTCATTGTGAAACATTTGCGGTGACATCAAAATACGGAAATTTAGTGCTGGGCTTATTCTATGACTCAAACTGTTCTTTCAAAAAGTAGACTAAAAATCTTACAGCTCTTTTTTTGTAACGTATCACTATAGTAATTCAAGCTTCAGCACAGTTTTGATATTTTATAACATGTGACAAAAATATATTGGAAATTGTGTAAGTACTTTTGTCTGTCAAACTGTAAAGTAATGATGTAATTTCAGCCAATGATTTGTTCAGTCTTTCAGACTGTCATTTAGTCATTCTTTGTATGATGCACTCAGTTATCATTTGCAGTGAGATAAGCCCTTGGTGTTCTTTTCATAGCCAAAAAATTCTAATAGCACTTATGTTTTTTCAGATTTTGCTAAAATGACTCGAAGAGGAAAGAAAATACGCAGGAAAATTAGAGTGACATTAACTTTCAGGTGACAGATTAGTCGATTTTCGCATTTTGTAACTTATTCGATCTTTCTTATTGTTGAACTAATCAGGTTGCTTCAACAGAAATCATCCTAAATGAAGCTACCAAAGCTTGGCAACTGTTTTGGTTTACTTTTTTCCTCTAGCTGTTATAAGCTAGTGAAAAAATGATTTTTTCAGCTTTAAAAGTAAGCGAAATCTGACTTTCTAGTAATAAGTAAATAATAAATAAACTTTTGACTTATAAAAATACTAAGATATTTTTGTCTATTTAATATCGAAATATTTTGCAATTAGGTGCAAAAAAGATCGAGATAGAAATTTTATGGTATATGCTTCACTTTAAAATTTCAGTAATGTTTTTGTAACCCTTTTCTTTTTTTTTTTTTTTTGATTTTTGATTTATTCTTCTTTTTAATCTTGATACAGTTTTCATTTTTCTTTTAAACAATCGCATGATAAAAATGTAAATTTTTTGCAATATACTTTGATAAATCGTAGTAAAATGGTGCGAATCTTCAATGTGATTTTCGATCGTTTGTGACACTGCTAATTCTGAGCAGTACTGAAACAGATGATGTCTTCAAACGTCATATTGTTTTTGTCTCCAACGAAAGAAGTGCAAA